CCGCCATCGAGAGGAGAAACAATAGCTGGCACCTTAGACACTTCTTATGGTTCTGCTGTCCTTATTCTGACTGAAAGATGAGAATGGAACTCGACTGCAGGGACCGCTGTTGCAGCAACCTCAGCAGCAGGCCAGAGAAAGCATTACCGTGGAGATTTTAAACAGGAGAGGACAAGATGCAGAAGCATTTCTTTCAAGATTTGTCACAGGAGATAAAATAGGGCTCTTGCGCAAGGATCCTGAACACAAAGCACGAAGCCACGGCTACCAAGAGGCGGCAGCCCTGTAGGCAAAGCCACAAGGCACCTGTCAAGAACAGAGGTCATGGCGACCGTTTTGGGGGATGGGACGCTAGAGGGAGTCTGCTCGTCGACCTTCTGGAAGGCCAAACCGTGATCCCATCAGCTCTCCTTCCTAGTAAGGGAAGCATTGTGAGAAAGTTGGCCAAAGCTTGAGCGGAAAAACATTCCTCAGCACAACGTTCTTCTCCACTCCACGGCACCAACGTTCCCGTGCCTGCCTTTCCTCAAATAAGGGCAGTCGGGCAAGAGTTTCCATGGGAAATCATGAGCGTCCACTTGACAGTTCTCATTTGGCGCCTGCTGACTTATTTCTGTTTCCCAGTCTTAGAAAATCTGAAACGGGCACCACCCAGGTTTCTTCCCTTCATAAGGAAAAAGAGAGGTCACGGAGGTAGCTACATTCCCAGGACCCTGGGGGGATTCAGGAATGGACTAGAGGGCGCGGCAAAGACATCGCTTCCAAAAGCGTCTGGAACTCCATGGGGCCGACGTTGAGGAGTAAAATCTACCTTTTCTCCTTTTCTCTTTTAATCCCACTTTCCTCCGAATGCTGGGAATTCCCCCCCAACCCCCCTTCCCGCACAACGTCCGTTCTAGGTCACGAGTTGCTATCCTGTGTTGGTTCTTCTTTCTCGGATTTCTGTCGCGCTGAGTTGTTACTGTCTATTTTCCTCCCAAGAAGTTTCAGTCTGTGTTTTATGGAATCCACAGATGCGGAACCTGCGAACATGGAGGGCCAACGATGGAACCCAAGAAGGATGTGTTGAGGCTCATCCCCCCTCGAGGGCACAGCAGTCCACCTGGCGTGGACCCTCCCGATTGGCTGCATGGTACTGACGGAATGAATTCCTACGGGGGCTGGGCAGCCCAGCAGCCAAGGGGGTCAGGGCCTGAGCCGTGGGCGGGCCTAGGGCTGCCTATATAAGGCCGAGCCCTGGCAGCTGCGCTTCATTCCCCGTTGGACAGCTCACCGCAGAGGTCGCTCCAGGCTGTGGCTCCACATCCCGAGGACCAGAAGCGGATCTGCTCAGCTGTCTGCAAGGACCGGACCGGCGTTCTAGACCCGGTGGCCCCCTCGCGCCCCGCTATCCCCCCTTTCCCCGCCCCGCTCCCCACGCCGCACGGAGGGTTCGGCCGCTCCGAGTTCGCTGACTCCACACCCCGAGGCCTGTGGTGTGCGAGGACCAGCGCCACAGAACCAGTGGCCCGCTGCTCCGAGGGCCGAGCTCGCTCCAGGCTGTGACTCAACATCCCGAGGCCTGCCTGGCGACCGGGCAGCCAGGGAGGACCGGCGCCCCGAGACTTCACCTCCCGCTGCCCAAGGACATCTCTGCGACCGGCCGACCAGGGACAGCGACGCCTGCCCAGATCTGGTGAGATGGCGGCAGGCTCGACTACGCTGCACGCAGTGGAGAAGCTGCAGGTGCGTCTGGCAACTAAGACGGACCCGAAGAAGCTAGGGAAATATCTGCAGAAACTCTCCGCCTTGCCCGTGACGGCAGACATCCTGGCGGAGACTCGAATCCGAAAGACCGTGAAGGGCCTGCGGAAGCACCAGCACGTGGGCCCCATTGCCAGAGACTTAGCGGCCCGGTGGAAGAAGCTGCTTCTCGTGGACCCAAACACCAGGCCCGGGCCCGACCCACGGGACCGGGAGGAGAGCTCTTCCCGAGAGCGCCTCGGGGAGGCTCTTCGGGACCAAGAAAAGGCCTGGGGCTTCCCGGAAAACGGGACGGCCCCCAGGAGTCGATCTCACAGCCCTGAGCACAGACGGACAGCACGCACAGCACCTACGGGGCTCCGGAGACCTGAGCGAAGCTCCCCCAGCCGCCAGGACGGAGCCCAGAGAAAGCGCCCCAGAAATGCCTCGGCTGATTCCGGCCCCAATCGGGCCCCTCAGTCAGGGCGCGCCGGACCTCTCCCGATGAGCGAGGGCCTGGAGCCCGGGCAGCAAACCCGAAGAGGCCACGCTGACACCGCCCAGGGCCTGCCCCTGCTCGCTGGAGGCTGCCAGGGCCAACCCCAGGACGAAGCGGTTGGGGGCCGCAGAAAGAAGCGCAAATCCTCCCGCCGGGAAGAACGCCCTGTGGGTGCCCAGGGCCGCGGGCAGTCTCCCGCTTCCCTCATGGAGACATCCTCCGGGGCCTGCACCAGAGGGGAATCCCCAAGGCCGTCCTCCCGGGAAAGCCCCAGGGACACAGCGCCCTCTGCTAGCGCCGGGACACGGAAGGAAGGAGGGCGCGCCGGCGGCAGTGGCCAGCGTCTCCCCGCCTGGGCGGTGGCTCCAGACGGCCACCCGGAGAGGCCTAGGCACAGACGCTCGCACAAGAAGAGGCCAGGTCTAGACGGCCCGGACCCACGAAAGGGGACACACGGCCTCTCCCCCGGGGTCAAACAGCAGCTTTCCGGCGAACCAGAGACTCGAGAGGGGAAGCCACGCACTGCTCACTTGGACGCAGTAGCCGTGGGCTCCCTCTCTGACGTGGAGGAGGGAGAGGGGGCTGAGGAATTCCAGCAGCCCGCTCTGTCCTTCGAACAATACCTCACCTACGACCAGCCGCAGAAGAAGGCGAAAAAGACCGCGAAGTCTTCCGGCACCGCTCGTGGAGATCAACGACGGAGAGCAAGCCGTTCCAAGGGCACCGGCGAGTCCCGGGCTTCGCCTCCGAAATTGCCTCCTGTCAAGGAAAGCCACTCCCCGAGGCCACAGGCGGCCGGTGCCGATTCCTCCGGGCGGAAAACCGTGCTCAGCCACGGCTTCTCAGAGCTGTGGGACCTCTCAGAGCCCTGGATGCAGGCCAACTACGATCTGCTCTCCGCCTTTGAGTCCCTGACCGCCCAGACACAGACAGAACCGGCACTCTCCGCACCGACGTTCCAGGAGGAAACCGGTTCCCCTGGACGCAGAAAGAACGCCAAGATGCAGGTGTACTCCGGCTCCAGGCCTGCCCGCCAGCCCGGGTGGCTGACCTTGCGCCAGCAGTGCGTCCGGGCGCTTAGAGACAACCCCGGCGTCCTGGGCCGAGCGGGACGCGTCCCCTCTTGGGTTTTTGAACTTGTCCTGGAGGGGTGTACGCCTGACCAGCTATATCGCAGAGAGAAAAACAATCACGCACTCATTGGACAGACAGACGGACTCTGGAGGATTCACTGCCTCCGGGACTTCAAGGGAGAAAATCCGCAGGAGCACGAGTCTTGGCGGGAGCTGTACCTGCGTCTTCGGCATGCCCGAGAGCAGCGGCTGCGTGTAGTGACGACCAACATCCGGGCTGCACGTGACAACAAGCCCCACGGCCGACGGACGAAGATGATCTGTTTCAACTCGGTGGCCGAGCCGCCTAACGGTGCTCCGAGGAGGCAAGAGAAGTCTGCAGGAGCCGCTGACCCCGAAAATGGCAACATCAACCCAGATCCGCATCCCCCAAAAAGCAGCCGCCCGCCGCCCGCTAGCGAGGGCGGCGGGGCAGGCAGCGGCCTTCCCAGGCGCCCTGAGAAGCGGGCCTACGCCTGCCTGAGCTGGAGCAACGCGCGGGCGACGCCCGAGGCCAAAATCCGGAAACAGGCTGCCAAGAAAGTGGCCCCGCTGATGGCCAAGGCCATTCGAGACTACAAGAGAGCAATCTTACGACGATAAACTCAAGACTCCTCTTACAGATGGAATCGAAGGGGAGGAGGACCAATGCCAAGTCCATGCGGGTTAAGGAACGCAGCTCCCAACGGACACCAGAACCTTTGGCTTGGTGCAAAGCTGCGCTTCTGAATTCTGCAGGTGTCCACGGCTGGCCCTGGGATTTGGCCTCCCATACCCAGCCACTGCCTCCCTGCTGGGAGGACACCTCGGAATCCAGAAGATGTGAACGCTTTCAGATCGATTCCGCTTTGGTGGTTAACTGATCGCTTCCTAAATCATGCCCTAGTTAAAATCATCAACGAGGTAGAGTTCCCTATAGTTTGGTTTTTAAATCATCAGCTAGATAATTCCTTTTTAGACACAAACTCACCAGGCATTAGTTAACACTGACAAATCCCACTACACAAATGGTTTTTTGTTGTTGCTGTTGTTTTGTTTTTTAGCAAAACCTGGCCATGAAACTATAATTGTGAGCCATCCTCCTATGGGAGGCTGAGAAGGGTGGGTGGCTTGAGCCCAGGAGGTGGAGACAAGCCTGGGCGAAACCCCACCTATAGAAGAGGTATCTAAATTAACCAGGTGTGCTGGCACGGCCCCTGGGGCCCCAGCTTCTTGGAGGGCTGAGGTGGCAGGATGGCCTGAGCCCGGGAGGCAGAGGTTCCAGTGACCCTTGATCATTCTACTGCACTCCAGCCTGGGCGACAGAAACAGAGCATGTCTCGGAGGAAACCGCTGTTTCTTTGAAAAATGGAACTGTGGACTGGGCGCAAGGGCTCACGCCTGTAACCCTAGCACTTTGGGAGGCCGGGGTGGGTGGATCACCTGAGGGCAGGAGTTCAAGACCAGCCTAGCCATCACGGTGAAACCCCATCTTTAAAAAATGTCAACAACAACAAGAAGAAGAAGAAGAAAACGAACTGTGGGATTTCATCAAACAGTGGCAATAACCGCTACCTTTGTTAAGTCAGACTACTTTCACTAAGCACCAAAGAGAATCGTTCCCAATCTTTTCACCCAGAACCCCTATGGAAGAATGGCAGAAACTTCATCACTGTAGCTAATTGGCCTCTGAATCAAGAAATCTAAAGCCACCAATCAGAGTTTCTAATTACCATGAGATGACCAGGGTAACATCCTTCAGTTCGGATCACATGAGCTTCTGCCGGCTTTGTTGAGCCTTTAGTTTTCAACTGAGGGCATGAGTTGGCATCATACGGACGGGTAATCGCAGGTCCGTGTGCCAGATACCTCCCCACCCTCCCCGACACACACCCTTGAGTAAATCTGATTTCCTTGATGAGATTTCCTGATGCCTACAGTTAGTGAGAAGCCAAGAGACAGACAGAAAGGCCTATCCCACAAAGCAGAACCAAGCAAGGACAGTAAAAGAGATCAAACTCCTGTGCCCCGGGGTGGGGGGGGGGGGGGCGGGCAGTAGAGCAGGTGCTGGGAAGCTTCTGGAATCAGGCATCAGAGCAAATGCCAGTGCAAGAGGGAAGGGGCCTTCAAGGCTGAAGAACACGAAGGAAGCCAGGACAGGCAGCCACAGGGGTGCTGCTCCGGGGGGATGACGTCTTTTTTCTGGGGAAAGAAAGACGTGATGCAAGCAGGGACTGTATACAATTCAGGGGAGACTCCCTGAACCACCCCTCCTACCCCGCCCGCCCAGCAAGGGACACACAAGGCCAGTCTCTATTTCTTCACGGCAATACAAGAGCGGGTCTGTGGTGTCCTGCAAAACTTATGAGAGAGCCAAATCTCCTCCTCGTGGCACAAGAGCCACACGTTCTTCCTGGAGGTGGAGTAGCCACTGATCACCCTGCAGCTTCTCCCCGCTCCCACCGAGACATTCCAGTCCCCCGGACTCAAATCCGCTGGCAACAGCCTTCCTTTGTGGAAAATGTTTCCCCTCCCAAAACAGAAAGCAAACAGGATACAAGCAAACACAGCTCAAAACATGAAGAGCTAGCTCAAGCCCCTCACAGCTCACCGATGCGCCCACTGTCACTCTGCTGACAATGGCGTCTGCCCCCACTGAACTCATTCATGACTGCAGAACCTGACTGACAAGCTTTAGCGGGTCACGGCTCCCACCGAGACACGCCCTCTCGAAGAAAGGACTAGATAACAAACCCCACACAAAATATAAACCTAACCCAAATAGAATTCAGCACCCACCTGTGGATCCTACTGTCACATTACCACACTGACAAAAAACAGTTCAATCCTCTGCTGACCTGTCTACAGAATAATCCTCATTCGGAGCGCTCCGCAAGCATTGCCAGCGTTGCACTGGGATCCCCTTGCTGAGGTAGCTGGATGTCGGGAAACTGAGCAAATTTACCTGGTTTTCCTACATATCACGGAGGGTTCATTCTCAGAAAAGGCTTACCACCGGAATCCTCGTCCCCTGATTCTCGGGCTGTTAGGATTTTCTTGCTTCAGAAATACACGCACACGCACAGACACACACACAGACGCACATACACAGAGATGCACACACACACACACACACACACACACACACACACACACAGACGCATACGCACACACAGAGAAAGAGACCAAAAGTCACAGGAGCATTAGAAAATGAGGCGAAATCACCATCCAGAGGAGAAACAATAGCCAGCACCGTAGACACTTCCAGTGGTACTGCTGTCCTTATTCTGACCGAAAGATGAGAGTGGAACTCGGCTGCAGGGACCGTTGTTGCAGCAACGGTCAGACGAAGATGATCTTTTTCAACTCGGTGGCCGAGCCGCCTTATGATGCTCCGAGGAGGCAAGAGAAGTCTGCAGGAGCCGCTGACCCCGAAAATGGCAACATCAACCCAGATCCGCATCCCACAAAAAGCAGCCACCCTCCCTCTAGCCGGGGCGGCGGGGCGGCGGGGCGGCGGGGGCGGCGGGGGCGGCAGTGGCCTTCCCAGGCTCCCTGAGAAGGGGGCCTATGCCTGCCTGAGCTGCAGCAATGCGCAGACGACGCCTGAGGCCAAAATCCGGAAACAGGCTGCAAAGAAAGTGGCCCCGCTGATGGCCAAGGCCATTCGAGACTGCAAGAGAGCATTCTTCCGACGATAAACTCAAGACTCCTCTTACAGATGGAATCGAAGGGGAGGAGGACCAATGCCAAGTCAATGCGGGTTAAGGAACGGAACTTCCAACAGACACCACAAACTTCGGCTGGGTGCAAAGTTACGCTTCTGAATTCTGCAGGTGTCCACTGCTGGCCCTGGGATTTGGCCTCCCATACCTAGCCACTGCCTCCCTGCTGGGAGGACACCTCCGAATTCAGAGGATGTGAACACTTTCAGATCCATTCCACTTTGGTGGTTAACTGATCACTTTTTAAATCATGTAAGAGTTAAAATCAACAACGAGGTACAAGATGTAGAATTCCCTGTTTTCTGGTTTGTAAATCATGAACTAGATAATTCCTTTTTAGACACAAACTCACAAGGCATTAGTTAACACTGACAAATCTCACTATATAAATGGTTTGTTGTTGTTGTTGTTGTTGTTTTATTTTGTTTTGTTTTGTTTTTTTGAGGCGGAGTTTCGCTCCTGTTACCCAGGCTGGAGTGCAATGGCACGATCTCGGCTCACCGCAACCTCCGCCTCCTGGGTTCAGGCAATTCTCCTGCCTCAGCCTCCTGAGTAGCTCGGGTTACAGGCACGTGCCACTATGCCCAGCTACTTTTTTTTTTTTTTTGTATTTTTAGTAGAGACGGGGTTTCACCATGTTAACCAGGATGGTCTCGATCTCTTGACCTCGTGATCCACCCGCCTCGGCCTCCCAAAGTGCCGGGATTACAGGCTTGAGCCACCGCGCCCGGCCCCGTTGTTTTGTTTTTAAGCAAAACCTGGGCATGGAACTATAACTGTGAGCCATCCTCCTACGGGAGGCTGAGAAGGGTGGATGGCTTGAGCCCAGGAGGTGGAGACAAGCCTGTGCGAAACCCCATCTAAAGTAAAGGAATCTAAATTAGCCAGGTGTACTTGCACGGGCCCCTGGGGCCCCAGCTTCCTGGAGGGCTGAGGTGGCAGGATGGCCCGAGCCTGGGAGGCAGAGGTTGCAGTGCCCCTTGATCATTCCACTGCACTCCAGCCTGGGCGACAGAAACAGAGCATGTCTCAGAGGAAACTGCTGTTTCTTTGAAAAATGGAACTGTGGGCGGGGCCGAGGGGCTAAGGCCTGTAATCCTAGCACTTTAGGAGGCCGAGGTGGGTGGATCACCTGAGGTCAGCACTTCAAGCCACGGCTACCAAGAGGCGGCAGCCCTGTAGGCAAAGCCACAAGGCACCTGTCAAGAGCAGAGGTCATGGCGACCGTTTTGGGGGATGGGACGCTAGAGGGAGTCTGCTCGTCGACCTTCTGGAAGGCCAAACCGTGATCCCATCAGCTCTCCTTCCTAGTAAGGGAAGCATTGTGAGAAAGTTGGCCAAAGCTTGAGCGGAAAAACATTCCTCAGCACAACGTTCTTCTCCACTCCACGGCACCAACGTTCCCGTGCCTGCCTTTCCTCAAATAAGGGCAGTCGGGCAAGAGTTTCCATGGGAAATCATGAGCGTCCACTTGACAGTTCTCATTTGGCGCCTGCTGACTTATTTCTGTTTCCCAGTCTTAGAAAATCTGAAACGGGCACCACCCAGGTTTCTTCCCTTCATAAGGAAAAAGAGAGGTCACGGAGGTAGCTACATTCCCAGGACCCTGGGGGGATTCAGGAATGGACTAGAGGGCGCGGCAAAGACATCGCTTCCAAAAGCGTCTGGAACTCCATGGGGCCGACGTTGAGGAGTAAAATCTACCTTTTCTCCTTTTCTCTTTTAATCCCACTTTCCTCCGAATGCTGGGAATTCCCCCCCAACCCCCCTTCCCGCACAACGTCCGTTCTAGGTCACGAGTTGCTATCCTGTGTTGGTTCTTCTTTCTCGGATTTCTGTCGCGCTGAGTTGTTACTGTCTATTTTCCTCCCAAGAAGTTTCAGTCTGTGTTTTATGGAA